GGCGATCCCCCCTCCGCCATACCACGGCTGCTCCACTCCTACACCAACTTGCTCTCCGGTTTCTCCGCCCGCCTCAGCGCTGACGAGCTTAATACAATCTCAAAGATGGATTGGTTCATAAACGCCATTCCCGACCCTGTGTACAAGCTCCACACCACCCACTCCCCTGAATTCCTCGGATTACTCCATTCCCCCGCCGGCGCCTGGAACGATTCCAAGCAAGGCGAAGGCATCATCATCGGTCTTCTCGACAGCGGAATCACAGCCAACCACCCTTCCTTCTCCGACCAAGGTGTCCCCCCTCCTCCCCCTAAATGGAAAGGTAAATGCACCTTCCCCAAACCTCTCTGCAACAATAAGCTAATCGGCGCTCAATCCTTCATCTTCGGCGAGCCCGATGGAACTCCTCCGGACGACCATGACGGCGACGGCCACGGCACGCACACGGCAAGCACCGCCGCCGGCACGGCGGTTTCAAAAGCCGCCTCTTTTGGTAACGCTGCCGGCACGGCGGTCGGAATGGCTCCTCGCGCTCATATCGCCGCATACAGAGTATGCACTGACGATGCATGCTACGATGCATGCTACGGAAGCAATATATTGGCGGGGATGGATGCCGCCATTCATGATCGAGTCGACGTTCTCTCCATTTCGCTCGGCGGAGATGCCGACTTAGATTTCTATCAGGACCCAATGGCGATCAGCGCGTTCACCGCTACGTCAATTGGGATATTTGTCAGCGTGTCGGCGGGGAATGATGGTCCGGAGAAGGGGACGGTGACGAATGCCGCGCCTTGGATGCTGACGGTTGGCGCCAGCACCATGGATCGGAGAATCGCAGCCGATGTGCGGTTCAAAGGCGAGTCTTTGAACCAAATCCATGATTCTCCGGCGAGAAATCCGATTCCATTGGTGTTCCCGGGGATTAATGGTGACGAGAAACCCGCCGCGTGTTCCAACGGCTCGCTCGCCGGTTTCGATGTACGCGGAAAGGTGGTGGTTTGTCTGAGAGGAGTCAACGGGCGGGTGGAGAAAGGTGAGGTGGTGAAAGCAGCCGGCGGCGCCGCCATGATCTTAATGAACACGAACACTGCAGGGTATACAACAATAGCAGACGGTCATGTTCTTCCAGCCTCTCATGTAAGCCATGAAGATGGAATCAAGATTGTTGAATACATTAACACTACAGAGACTGCAACTGCGAGCATATCCTTCCGCGGCACGGAGTTCAGGTCGCCATTTTCGCCCTCCGTTGGTGATTTCTCTTCCAGAGGCCCGGGAACAGCATCTCCGGGAATATTGAAGCCGGATATAACAGGTCCCGGAGTCAGCGTTCTGGCGGCGTGGCATGAACTCGATCCGGCGAATAAAAAACCGACTTTTAAGGTTTTGTCGGGAACATCCATGTCATGTCCGCATCTGAGCGGGATTGCGGCGCTGCTGAAGGCGGCGCACCGATGCTGAAGGGGGCCCCCCGAGACTGGTCGCCGGCGGCGATAAAGTCAGCGCTTTTGACGACGGCTGACGTGGTGGACCGTAGCGGAAAGCCGATTTCAGACGAGAAGAGGAAGCCGGCTGATTTCTATGCGCTTGGAGCAGGGCATGTCAACCCTGAGAAAGCCATGAATCCAGGGCTGGTGTACGATCTGAAGAAAGAAGATTACTTTCCATATTTCTGCGGGCTGGGGTATGACGAGACTTTGATTAGCGTGATTGTGGATCGAGAAGTCAACTGCTCGGTGGTGGGGAGCATTATGGAGGCGGAGCTGAACTATCCTTCGTTTTCCGTGGAGCTTGGAGTTGGGGAGAGAGTGGTTTTGAACAGGACGTTGACTAATGTGGGGTTGGGAAGTCAACGTTATTGGGCGGAGATTGAGCCGCCGAAGGGAGTGGTGGTGAAGGTGGTGCCCAAGAGGTTGACTTTTAAGAAGTTGAAGCAGGAGAAGAAGTTCAGGATCGTTTTGAAGAGAAGTGAGGAGGGATTGGAGATGGCGAAGGGATACCTCAAGTGGGTTTCTCAGAGCCATCTTGTGCGGAGTCCAATTTTGATCACCTCGAAGTGAGTTAGTAACCATAGGAAGAAAATAATAATAATAATAATAATCAAATTAATAGACAGGAATATTATAAAAATTATACATTTTTCAATATTTTATGTGTTTACAATTTTTTTTACACATTAATTTGATATTTAATTTTGAGATGGGAGAGGTATTGTAAAGGCAATGTCAATTTTTCTTGGAAGTCATTTAAAATTAGATGTATGACAAAAATTTAATATTAGATAAAAAAAATATCATTAGTACTAAGTTTTTAAAAGTGAGTATTTTTTCATGTATAAATTTATAACATCAAGATGATATATATGTATATATCAAACTTATGCTATTAGATGTGTAAGAACATAAAAATTAGGTGATGTGAATGTAAATTTTCCTTAAAATTGAAAGAAAATGAGCAATTATTCAATAGCCATATCACAAATAATAATATTAAGAATTTTTCCCACAAATAAGAATAAAGGCAATAAACAAATATAATATAATGATGATGATAATAATAATAATAATATTATTATTATGAATTCAAAATCCCTCTATCAAATGTAACTTTGCTTTTATAACCCTTCAAATAAAATAAATTATTATTTATATTCAAATCATAAGCTTCTGAGTTAGATTTGTTTTAAACTTCGAGCGAATTTAAAAGCAAAACAGGAATACACACCCATATATATGAAAAATTTCGGAAGCCTGCACGGCAAATCTCCGACAGGCGTATATGATGATGTGATTGTCAGTAGTTAACCGTCTGGACATAATATTTTCTCTATGTCTACATAATTTTGGATTCAAAACCTTATGACTAGAGCTTAAACATTCAACTAAAAGCTAAAGAGGAAAGTGTGACAATTAAAATCCAACCCTCATACAAATTTAAGCCAAATGGTTTCCATTGTCATATTTGATGAATTCATTGATGTCATCTAACTCAATCCAATAGATATCAACCAACAAGCTATCATCCAACTAACTCATTAGCTCATTGATCTCCATTGATCATACCATCCACTAACTCGACTTCTCACAAACATCATTGTCAACGATTCAGAATAAATAATTCAAATGTTTAACAAAGTTCAATTTAGATTCAAATTTTGTCTCTACCATAATTAGGTCAACTGAATGCTCGTGAAGTCAAACAAGTTTACTTCAAGAATATGTGAACTCCATTAACCTAAAACAACATTTCAAGGAGGCTCTTACTCAACTCCAAACTTCATGCCCAAATAAAAGTTATAATATATCATACATGAATCATACAATAAAGAGCAAAATTTACATGGCATTTGGGAGCACATACCCCTAAAATATTTCATTTATCTTTATATATAATCAATAAATACACACTCAGGCTAATTGATGTTCCCTAAAACCAAACATTCAATTATGCCCCCTCAAAAAATTACAAAAAAACTTTTATAATTGCCATAAATCCTATCAAAATATATTCTTTGCAAAAAAATAAATAATAAATAATAAAAAAAACCTTAACATTCTTATTATAACCACTGCACACAAACTTAAGGGTCCATTTGGGTCAGCTTGTGCATTTCAGGATAAACTGTTTATCCTGAAACGCGGCCCACGGGCCGACCGTAATGGTCGACCCGAGGTTAACCCGCGGCCTGCGTTTAGTGTAAAAACCTAAACGCAGTTTCAGATAATCTAGTGAAACGCGCGAACCAAACAATACGGCAGCGTTTTGAAAACGCCGCCTGCACTTATAAGCTGCCCAAACAGACTCTTAATCTGATGTAAGAAAAACAGAAAAAAGAAAAACAATCATAAAAATTTCTGCAAAAGAACAAATAATTATAAAAAAATTATAATTAGATATAAACATGATATTGATCTATAGAAAAATCTTTTTTTTTTTTTCTGAGAAAAGCTCCCTTAAAATTTCTGCAAATGCCGCATTACAAAAAAGTACTATATTTTTTACACCTTAATCACCACTTATAAACACAAATTACAAAAGGCAAGATTATGGATTATTGCAGGTCAGCTGCATTTTGCTTTCTACATTCTACATAGGTTTTTCAATCTATCTGAAAATATAATACTATAAAAGCATTTTTCAGCTGTTAAGGAGGGAAAATGAGAACCAACCTTTCAGGAAAGCAGAGCTCTGATTAAAAAAGATGATGCTCCAGATCGATTTTTTTCCTTTTAGTCATACAGTCCTTCCTCTTGCCAAATATCTACCAAGAAATCTACCATCTCCTATAAAATATCAAAGTGTAGATACTCAAAGTAAGAATCAAAATTAAATTATAAAAAAGGGCATGCACAAACATACCAAACAATTCTAATTTATTTACATATCTAATACCTATACTATTATATTTACATACACAACACTCAAATCTATAATATCATATAAAAATACCATTATTACAATGTCACAACCCAGCTCGAGAGCTTGGAATTTCAAGACATGAATTGACAGTCGGACGGTAGAGTTATTTAATTTTAACATCCAAAGTACTATAAATATAAATATAAAAGTTTAGGTGTATGTAAACACAAGGTATATCTGTAAATTTCCCAAAAAATAATAAATACCGCAACTCAACTGTGTCAGAAAACTCACTGATAATGGGATTGGTTGCGGGAATGGTCTCTTTGTAGAGAGCAACTCTTCATATGTTGTGCACCAACTATAAATAAGAATAAATGAATCAAAGCAGTAACATGCAAATAATAATAGTAATAATAGTGAGAAAAGAATGCTAATTGGTAAGTAACTAACAATAGCTCAGGACAGAGATCTTAATTGCTACTTAGAGCAAATTAAAAAGGAAGAGTATGTTAAAGCCAGTGATATTCATAAATTGCCTAATAATCTAAGAAAAACTGCCCATGTAATCTATAAATCTGTTAACAAGATAAAGGAGTATTATTCAGCCATGTTTGACAGTAGCAAAAGACAATATCATTTGACATATTAAACTTATTCAAATTAAGTGCTTAATTTGAGATAGATATGTCACGCGATTAATACTTAATGTATTATAATTCAATGATAAATAATGAGAATATCTCGGTGGAAAATAACTTGGCAATTCAATGTAACAATAAAGGAGAAGCTATTAAATACACATACATGCAAACATCTTTAATATATGAGGCAATCCTTTGAGAGAGAAAATGGTTACATTTCATGAAAACCTAAAACAAAAAGGCATCATTTAATTTAGTTCAAGACTATGCCGCCCAAAGGCGTGTGAATCAAAACTTAAATAAAGACATCACTTAGACAGTCAAGATTTATCCATATAAATTTGATACTCAACTTGACCCAAAATTCTTCATGGATTGGTTTATTGGATGGATTAATACTTTGATTGGATGAATAAGTGTAACGAGCATCAAATTAGGTTCCCTCAGAAGAAATTTAGCGGGCACGCCAAAATTTACTGGGCCAATCTTGAGTGACGAAAGTTAAAGCTTACATAAACCCTCAACACTAAGAATAAGATGTAAAAGATTGTAAAGTAGAAATACCTTCTTCATTAGCTCCTAGACGAATTCACCACCTACAGCAAGAAAATATCATTACCATGAATATCAATGCATTGCTGATTACCTGATTTGTTGAGCCTATGATTCATTGTGTAAATGCGCTAAAGCTAGAGCAATCTCAGTGCATGTTCATGTTTAGTTCATTCAAAAATTTATTTATTTGAAATCGGCTCATGTTCAAAATAGCCCATAAATATCATGTTCGTGTTCGGATTGATTCAGATTCATGATTGAAAAAATAATAAAATTTAACATTTATAAATAACGCATAAAAAAATAATATAAAAGGGTTATAATAAATATTATTTATCTAATTATGTAATTAATTTGAGAAAAAAATAGATGAACATGGTCAAGCAACGATTAGTTGTAATTGACTCATTTATTAGTCGAGCACAAAACAATTGTTCATATTTGGTTAGCTTGCTTAAGAAAATAATTGAATAGAGCTACTCAGCAAGCCGAATACAAGCTATTCATGAAGGACCCTTGGTTAATGATTTTTGGATTTGGATTGGGGTTACAATCAGAGATCTGATATGGAATACCAACTCTAAGAATTTATGCTCTCAAGGATGCTTTATACATGCCCTATGATGCATTGACACTTCACTAAAAATAGCCATGCTGTGTAAGACACGTGTTAGACACGAACACATCTGTGGCAGGTGTTTGACCTGTGTCGGGCACCCCCACCACGCCTAATTTAAAAAAAAAAAGAAATTGGGACATGCATGCCCTTTAAAATTAAATTAAATTTTATAAATGGTAACAAAATGCATAATAAAATATTAGTTTTTTAAGATAATGGTGCCTTGTCTTGGACGCACATGTTGAAGATCATGAGCATCAAGATTACTAAACTTTACAAAGTCAAAATAATTTCCCAAAAGTTTTATGAGCCCATGATTTCGGATAGCCCTGCTCATAATTTGTTTTTCAAATTTGAGATGCCTCTTTTATCTCATTAATGAAATACACTCTAGAGATGCAATTGGTCACTTTAGCCGTGACAAGATAATATAGATGATGGAGGATAGATTCGTTTGGCCTAGCTTCAAGATATGTTGCTCATATTATTGCCCAATATCATTTTTTCTAGTTAGCAAAGCATAACAAACATGCAATTAAAATCCATCATCTTGCCCCACAAATTATAGAAAAAACTTAGCAAGGCCTTTGTCTTAGGATTACCTCGCATTATGCACTTTGACTCTTAGTAGTCGTTAATCATTTTTTGGAAGATGACAATAAGACATATAATGCATCTCGCAACATGACTATCTTCTGTTAAAAGCAGTTCATCTCTTAATCTAACTTAAAATGATTGTCTCTAACTATGTGTGCACTTCATGAGTTAATTTTGAAAACACCCAGAAAAAAAAAAATGGACACAAATTTTATTCTCCGCGGCTTATCATTCATCAACCAATGATGAAATTAAAGTTGTCTGCAAGATCCTAAGAAATATGGATAGGTGTTAGATGATCGATCATACCACAAGACGAGTTATGGTTCTACCTATTTTTGATCACTCATGATAGTTATGTCAATAAATCAACAACGGGTATGAGTCACTCACATTGTTATCAGATATAAACCATCTGATTTAAACTGCCTATTTCGTATAGGTCAGCCGCATTTGAATCCTCTTTTGCTCAAAATAGGCATGATTTACAACAAAAAATTCAACAAAAACTCCTTTGAATTACAATAACTATAAAACTGATGTCTATGCAAATAGATATAGATGATGCCCGAAAGTTAATATTGATATGGTTCTTTTAAAAGATAAAGACAGGTTTCCAACGGAAACTGTTAAAATTAACTCTAAAGAAATATAGATCTCATAAGGATTTGAGCAAGCTATGTCTAATTTAACATAAAATATTGGCAATTCATAAAGATTTTTGTTCCCTTCACATTAATACTTTCATGTAGGCTGCCACTCCGCCAACCCCTTTGCCATCCAACCACTTTAGATTCCACCTTTTGGATCATATATGAAGGATCAACTCATTTCCAAAGCAAATGAAGGCATTAGGAGATTTTTAGTTTAAAAAACAAATATAATATATGGCAGCCATACTAATTTATACCTTAACATAAAGTCATTTTTTGTGCATGCTTTACTCGGTTCAATAACATCGACATCAATACCATATATTTACTTTATATCGCAAAATTAATCATCTTTAAATCCATATTCTGTAGTTTGTAAATCTTTTTGAAGAATCCATATTTAATGTTTTCTGCACAACCTTATCGAATGTAGAAGTGGAACCGTGTCTCCTTAAGAACTGGCGATCTTTGAGAGAAATCCAATTAAGAAAACCTACCTGAAGAACTTCTAAATTATGTACACAAAGCTGAATTCTTGGTGCAGAAGATTGTAAGTTTCAACCCTGTTTCAAATAACGTTCAGATTAATCTTTAAGAAAATGTCTTCAACGTTTCCAGCATGGATTTGAGTTAGAAGTTACAGAATCAATGGAATTAGTCCTCAAACAACCTATACACAACAGCAATAATAACTCAAAAATTAAAATTAAAATAAAGATCAAACATGTTTTGAATTAAAGAAAAAAAGGCTATTCTAAACGAAAAACTAAACGCCCCACTCATGCCTAAAAATAATAATGAAAAATCCAACATCTCATAAATTATCAAGCTAATATGAATAGTAGGGTTGTAAATGAACAAATACACTCGATGAACAACTCATACTCGACTCGATTAAAATTCGATATGTTCGTTTAAATTAGTAAATAAACAAGCTTGAAATTTTTAAAAAAGCTCAAAGATTAAATGAACTAAACATGATATAATTTAACTTGTTTATGTTCATGAACAAACTCATTTGTTCTTTAACAAACAAACAAACAACAACAATAACAAGCCTTCATCTCACTAAGTGGGGTTAGCTACATGAATCTTTTTTCTCCGTTGTGTCCTATTGAGCATCATATTTTCATTTAAGTCCAAAACATTAAGATAATTTTTCATAAAATACGCCCAAGTCTTTTTAGGTCTACCTCTCTTAACATAATTCAAATTTAAAACATTTACTCTCCCAACCAGATGGTCGATGTTTAATGTGACCAAATCATCTAAACCGACTCAATCTAAAATTGTCTGCCACTGGAGCTACACTAACCCTTTCACGGATACATTGTTTCTCATATTGGGTCTAAGTGTCAAGCCATTCATTAGCCTAAGCATTCTCATCTCAACAACACTTAGCTTTTAGTTTTATGCTTCTCTTTTAAAGGCCTACATTCTGCGTCATAAAGTATTGTAGGTCTCACATCTTATGATTTTTTTCATCAAGTCTAAGTGGTACTTTTCTATCACAATAGGCCAGATACATTCCTCCATTTCAACCAACCAACTTGAAGTCTACTAATAATAACATCCCCATTTATATCAATTTATATCAACATTACTTTGAACAATAGACCCGAGATATCTAAAACGTTCACACCTATTAATGATTTGATCGCCCATAATTACAACTCTACCACTATATCTACTACCTACTAAAATTACATTCCATGTATTCAAATTTAGATCTACTCAAACGAAGTCCTTTAGATACTAATGTGGACATCCATAAATCAAGTTTCTCCTGAACTCTTTCTTTAGTATTATTCACGAGAAGAATATCATCTGCGAAAAGCATACACCAAGGTACATTCTCCTGTAAATGTTAAGAGCATCCATAACTGAAGCAAAAAAATATGGGCTTAATGTCGATTCCTGGTATAATCCCACTGAAATAGGAAAATACTTAGCCAACCCTCCTTTTATTCGAACACAAGTAATAACTCTAGCAGTACACATATATTTAATGACTTGAAAATAAGTCATATCAAAACCTTTCTTTTCTAGAACTCTTCAAAGGACTTCTCTTGGAACTTTATTATTGTTTAACAAACTTCTCAAATATTTGATATTAAGCTCGATTATGGTTCATATCATATAGACTGTAAATAAACCAATGCACTTGCTAAAGAACTCGAACTCGACTTGATTAATACTCAATCATATTTGTTCAAATTAGACAAATTTGTACATTTTTTAAAAACTTAGGCTTAAATGAAACAAATTTGAACATAATCTAACACAATTGTTAATGTTCATCAAACTCATTTATTGTTCAATGAGTAACTTATTAAATGCTCTATATTTATATGATATATTATTTAATAAAATTTGATTAATTAGAACTTATTTAATAAAATATTTAATAGTAATTTATTATAATTTAATATAAAAATACACATAAATTTAATGTATTTTTTATTTTAATGAACTAGTTTGTTAGTATTTATTAATATAATTTGATTGCCAAATAAAACATACTTATAAATTATATATTATGTTATTTACTTGTATGAATTAGTTAGATGCTAATTTAGAATCTATTCAATTGCCTATTTATTTATATTCATAAAATTATTCGTTGATACATTTATATAAAAAATTAAATATTCATTTAAATTTTTTATTTGTTTAGTAGTTTAATATGAAAAATCATGTAAAATCAAATTTTAAATTTATATGAAAATTTTATTACTCATTTGAAATTTTAGCTTTTTAATTAATATAAACAAGCTTTATCTGAATAATAAAAAAAGTATGAACACTAATAATTTTAAGTCAAGTATAAACATATACGTGAAAGCACGTCTCAAGCTCGAATTGAACATGAACAACTTATGATTCAGCCAAGTAAAGTCCAACCTATGACATACTCGACTTGCCTTGGCTTGATTATAGCCCTACATATATGAAAAATTATTAAATGAAATTTGATTAACTAAAACTTATTTAATTATATATGTATTAATTAAATAAATTAACTTAATTCAAGTTGTGTCGCAAGCCTTGGCCTGTTGGCGGCGTGGTCACTGTAAGTCCCCTCGGATCAAGGGTTCGATCCCACTGTGGTGCAGGGGCTCTGAAATTTTAAGCACATGGCTCGGGCTCTCATTATGAGGCCAAAAAGCGCATGGGAAAATATATATATATATATTCATTAGTTAACATTGATTAATTATTTATTAAATTATTTAATTATTAAATAATTACGCAAATTTATATATTATTATCCGCTTATGATATATTTAATAATTATTAATCATTAATTAATCAAGTTAATTAAAATCAACTTAAATAAAAAATATATTAAAGCATGAACCCTACTCTCTCGCCCCTAAAGTTCACTTTCCATTTCTCATTTTGCCCAAAGCATCTCATATCTTGTGCCTAAAATCCTTGTTGTCCAGTCGTTGGTGGAGTAAGCAGGGAAAGCAACGACGAGATCGCGGTGTACAATGATCTCTGAAACTGTGGTATATCTCCCCCTTACCGCTCTATTCCTACCTGACTAACCCCATCTTTCTCTTCCTTCCTCCCACCCAACTTCGCACGCTTCAGTATCTCTAAATCCCACAAATATATTTGCTTATCACTTATTTATGTTATTTAATTGGGAAAAAATATTGCAACATATAATTTTGCTTATTTAATTTGTTAAATATAATTAAATACTAATTTAAATTTTATTCAACTGCTTATTTATTTAGATTTGTAAATCATTTGTTGAAATTTTATATGAGAATTCAGATACTCGAATTCGTTTAAAAATTTGTTCACTAGACAAAATCAAATCAAATAGAAATCAAATTGAAAATTTTAAACAAGCCAATCTTGAACATCATATGAAAACTCTACACAAGCTCAAGCCGAACATGAACTTATAAAATTACCAAGCCAAGTTCAATCCATGATATACTCGGCTCGATTGCAGCCATAATAAGTGGATAACATGCAAATTTAAAGACCCATTTTAATATAAGAAAAAAAAAGTTGCTAATGGGGCCATTAAACTGCATGTTATCAGAACATGAACAAAATACAACACAACTAATCATGAATTAATGCTAAGGCTGATAGTTTCCAACGGAATATTTCAGAAGCACAATTTTATTGGCTGCATTAGATAGATGGAACTACCTTATAACCGGATCCCTTCGAGCTCGACACAATACTCTCGTTTCATCTCCTATCCATGCTCTTCTTTCCCCCACCCAAGCTATTGCAGCTACAGTAATAAAACATCTTACTTTTAGCTCCCAGGGATTATATTGAATAACAGAACATTATGCGTCACTCAGTCTAAAAACGAAAGATGTGGAAACAATTATCAGCAGGATTATAAAATAAAAATAAGCGTCAACTTTAGTCAATAAAAAAGAATATGTGAACAGAAACAATAAAAATATTGGAAAGTATACAGAAGCTAGTGTAAATCTTTCCTAAATATATCAGCTGAACTCCCAGTGAAGAATGTGAAATCATCAAGGGGCAATTACATACATAGCGCTCTAAACGTTGCAATTTACAAAACTAGCACCCACTTTCATCCAATTTCCAAATTCCTACTGAAAAATCAAAGTTCATGATGAAACTCCAACTTATATTTTTCATTTTAATCAAATTCCCAATGATTTGATCATGGCACGCGTAAATGCATAATTTAGTAGAATAATAAATCACATGGGTGCTAATTTTATAAATAACATGTCTGTAGATGAAATGTCACAATAACACCCGGAACTGAAGCTCATTAATAAACCAAAATGCTCTTTATAGTTATTTCTTAACCATAACAAAATAAAATGTTTGCTCGAAGTCATTAGAACTTGAGACTATAGCATAATTTTCATTTCAGACAGTGGCAAAACTAGAACTTATAAGAGAGAAGTGGCAAAATAAAAAATAAAAGGGTGATGAATATTTAAGTTCAAAATTTTCTTCTCCTTAAAAATTTTAAAATTATTATAGAGTAAAATTTTAAACTTTTAATATATGAGACCGTGTAAATTTTAAACTTCAGAATATATAAGTATTATTATTACATTAAAAATATATTTAATATTAAACTAAAATTTAGAGAGTAAAATTTTTAGTGCATTATATGATATTAAAGAGTTCAATAAAAATCTCTGAGTGTTGATTGCCTCCCCTAGCCACCCCTGGTTCCACCAGGGGTTTTGGTGGATTCCCAAACAACTCTGTAATTAAACATACAAAAATATACACGTTGAAACAAAGAGATTAAAGTTAAAAAGAGAATAAAGCAAATATATATATATATATATATATATAGGAAGAGTCCAGAAGAATGTCATCAAATTAAAAATGAAATGTTCGAGACTACATAAAGAAAAATAAAGGATATGTAATCGATTCCAGAATATAAAAGAGCAACCAAAAAGCGATTCACAAAATAAAAAGCAAAAAATACACTTCAAACATATCACAAACATACACAATTTAGATTACAAGAATACCATAAACAATAGAAATTATAAAGTGATAGATAGAATGATCTTTAACTTAAACTAACCATGGTTAATGAACGAACCACTGCTCCCATTTTCTGCTGTCAACTTGTTAGAATCATTTGGAATAGGGCTAGGGGGCATGTGTGTTTCAAGAGAATTAGCTATGCGAACACTGTTTGCCATAGTTTCAGGACTCGATGACCATTGCCTTCTCTTCCGTCCTGGAATTCTGTTTCTGCTCCTCCTTTGAGGTGTATTTAATGTTCTACCGGTTAACGAACGAGATTTGGCAAGACCTCCTAGACAAGAACTGCTCTATATTAAAAAATGAGCAACAAATGTATGAAAAAATTATAGAAAAGCTGACATCGCTGAACATTTTAACAGGATTGCAATTATTTTTGCTGCATAAAATATCCAAATTTCTAGTAAAATAATAAAAATATAGGGCCTGTCAAAAGTTACATAAAAATCAGAAAGTGCCCTCAATTCCAAGCCACCATTTTTGACCTACCCCATAAATTAAGAGAACATGTCCCCAGTATGCCTATTGCATTTACAATGACCAAAACACCACCGATATGAAGAAACCGTTGGTTTTCAAACTCCAAACCAGTGACCAAGTAGCAGAATCTTCCTGTTTCATCAGAATAATAATCAAGGAACCCGACTTTGAGAGATTGTACTAAGATTGTAGTATTGAATGAACAGTAAACATAAAAATCAACAGCTGCAACATTAAATATGGGAAGAATGACTACAGAAAATCAATCTTGATACCCAATAAAAAGCTTTAACATGAACAAATTAAGTCCAATTTTTTCCATGGTTGAATATGAGAGAGATCAGCAGGTTTGCTCCAGGATGAATTCTGACAAAGTTCAAAAGAGAGAAGTGTCAAAATAATCGCCTGATTATTTACATGGGGCTTTTTTAGTCCCAAAAGTGTATAAAAATGTCAAGTTAGTCCCCAGAATCTTTAAATTGAGGTTGAGATAGTCTATGAAGATTATTTAAGCCCATATTAAAAAACTCTAGTAACCAAATTGATACTTTTATACTCTGAGATTAAAATGACCCCCTGCAAAGAGTAAGAGGATTATTTTGACACTTTTCTCAATATTAAACGTTAAGCGTGGGGGGGAGAGAAGTTTTGGAAATGTTCTACAGAGAACAGCAAGATAACGGTATGACTTGACGAAAATAGGAACTTTTGATCATAAAAAACAGATACAGCTAATAAACAGACTGAATGTTAAATGGGAGCCACATATTTCAAAGATTAAATTAAACTATACCTTGTGCGACAATGGAGATTCCAAATATTATATCTAGAATTTTGGGTAAAATAATGCTAATCAGATGATGAAGACAGACAAGAAAAACTCATGAAAGGTGAACAGGCTCAAATGAAGGAGATGAAAAAGGGAATCTCATTGCTCTTAATCTCAACAAGAGCACTGAATGTTAAGGATAACCAACAATCACATAATTCACTAGAAACTCCAACATAAAAGGATGAGTACAAGAAGAATTTTGTCTAGAAAAATAAGAAAGGAGGAATTATCAGGAAAGAATAAGATTTTTTTCTCATTGGTCTCATAACATTTCTCAGAAATCATTGCTCTTACCGCAATATAACAAGCATTTTTCAACTATAACAATCATAACCATCAAACCGCAAGAAAAGAAACACATTCTCTTGATAAAAAATTAAAGTTGCACGTGCTTTATTAGCTCATGAAAATATGACACTAAATAGGACGCAATGGAATGGAGAGAAAAAAGGATTCATGTAGTCGACCCCACGTAGTGGGATTAAGGCTTTGTTGTTGTTGTTATTGTTGTATGATTTATTAGCTCATGGGCGAACACAAGCCTATCCTTTATCCAAATGCAAAACTTTTAGCCATAAAATAGTCATTATTCACGATGTGAATAGTCTATGATGAACATAAAAGGAGTGTTGTCGAAACAAATGTTCATAGCAAATGCACACTTACGGAAATTGAAAAGAAAATGTCAAAAGGAAGTGCACAAAACAAATGCTCATGCAAACTTAGTGAGTCTCACCTTGTTTGTGATGCTTTATGCTAGTTTTCTAACATCGTCGTTTGCAGCACTAGAGTTTCACAGTTCACTAAGTTAAGGGATATTTTTGCCATATCGAGAAAAAAAAATCTTTATAAGAAACAAAGCAACATTGCTTCTAGTTGGAAACCATCTATGGCATAAATCAAGCTAACATGACAAACATAGGCTCATCTTCTTTTACTGTGAGATCTCACTGAAAAAGTTGGATAAACTCCTTTTGTACCTAATATTGTGGATTGTTAGAGTATATTTGGATTGAAGTGCCTAAATATTTCTTCCAAAGTAAGTGTGTTGCAGGGCCAATCATCCAACTATATGCGCCTCCTAGTTGTCTACAAATGCTCTACATTTATTTGCCTTCAAATTGGTCTTCCTATATTCTTGGATTGGAAGAAGTACACACTCCTAGCACAATTTGCAGGAGTGCAACGAAAGCTTGCTTCAAAAATTAAGAAAAGAGAAAAGTGTTAAATTGGTCCCCTGACTATTTACATAAGGCTATTTTAATCCCAAAATTTATAAAAGTGTTAAATTAGTCCTTGGACTCTTTTAATGAGGGATAAAATAATCCTCAATGAGAACAATATAAACCCTTGTTAAAAGAGTGTGGAATAAATTGATATCTTTATAAACTCTGAGACAAAAATGGACCCCTGCTAAGAGTGTGAAGGCCATTTTAACAATTTTCTCTAGGAGAGTTGCACCATGGATGTCAATGAAAGTGTAGCCATCACAATTATCAATTCATGATAGTTTCCTCTTGTTGTTCCGGATGTTCTAATTGATTGCTTCAACGTTCTCTCAGACTGACACATTATTGCTGCCATTACCAGCTTCTTGTACCTTGTGTGCCATCAACAAGAACACATTAAATGTTAACGCAGTTGTCAAAGTATGTAATATGTATATGCATGAAATCTTAACTATGCTACTCGCATTCTCCCTCCTCCCAAGTAGCTGCTGTCTAAGAACCTAAAACCTCAGCTATTACACAAAAATTTATTACAACTAAAATCCGATCAACCATGCCAAAAACTGAATTGTGTTAGTGAGTGAACAACTTGAATGAGGAACCCACATAACACCAATTCGACCAAGGTCATTTGTTCAAGTAGCCAAAATGAATTCTCTTTCTAACACTAAAGCACAACCCACTCGGTAAAGCTTGTTTTAGCTTGGCCTGCGTTGAGACTGAGATACAAGGCAAGAAGACCATTGAGATGAGTAGTCTCAAGCACTGAGTGGAACCCAAGTTGACCAAAAATGAGTAAAAAATCCAATTCAACATCAAAGAGGAAAATAAAAAAGAGTTTAGTCAAATGTAACAAAGAAATGAAGCACAGTTAATTTAAAGATAAGGCCAAATGGCCATAAATAGAGTTATAAACCCAAAACAGTTCAAAGTGCTCACTATTACAAAGCACAAGCTGATGTTCGACTACTAAAAACAAGAATTGAACAACAAAGGACTAGCATGCTAGACTTAATTGTTATATATGTGTCCACCCACTCCACCAATGTCGAATCCATCACTTAGAAATGTAAAATAACAACAAATGGTGAGATAAACTCAATGGAGAATGCTTTATGCAGCATTAGTAGATTCATAAGTAGAATCTCTCAAAACAAACAAGAGATTCTCCAATAAATCAATTGAAAAATCAAAACTATCAATAAATCCAGTCAGCAATCATAAAATTACTTAGACTCAAGGCTACTGAGGCTTTTCATGCACAACTAGTCAAGCACTCTTGCGCACACTAGTAGTCTAAGAAGCTTAATATCAATTGTTTACTTCAATTAAACCCAAATAAGATCATACGACCTCTTAGGTATCATCATTGGAGATCACACAACACCAACAAGCAATAAATCTCAAAGATCATAGAGCCTCAAAAATAAATATTAGGGTTAAAGATTCAATGCCCAAGATTATGTTGCATTGACATTCCCTCAGAAGTCTACATCATACCCATACTTCCACTATCATGTATTATTACAACAGAATTATCTTTCCATTCACACAAATACTAGAATCAAAAATTATAATTGCTAATAGAAAAAAAATCTAGAAAAATGATAATAATCCTCTCACTCCTACCAATGGTAATGAAACTAGGGAAAGTTCACATCAATTCGACAAGGAAAGTCCGCAAAAGATGGGTTAATGACCACTTAAAGTAGACGTGGAACATTGAAGTTGTTTTTCCCATCAACTACTCATTGTAAGGTTCCCTAGAGATCTCACCTGGCACTGGCTCATGCAGTACTAATCTTGCTCATTCAAGCAATAAAACGATAACATCAACGCTTAGAAGCTTACGTTTATATAAAGGAGACATTTAATGAACCAAGGATTGATTAATCACTCATTTGGCATTGTGTGACGTTGCAAATAAAATCTCTAGGCAATCAAAACATGTGTCACAATTCTATGGCCTGTTAATGACAACTAATAAATTTCTAATTAAGGTGTCTAATAAGAGGTTACAACTGTAGAAAGACAATGCACATGTAGTTTTTGCCAATTCTACTTTGCCAGCTTGGTTCTACTAAGCCAGTCACACATCACAAAAAGGTGACTTGCTACTCTAACCCACCAAGTTAGCTGAGTCAAACCGCATGGATGCCCATCTACTTAGCGCAACTCACTTATGCCTAAACAGTTCCACTCGTTCACTCTTCCTCGCCAGTCAAATAAATGCACTACTCAGATACCCAACTTGACTGACCATACCTCTACTTTATTTACTTGTTCCTTGATGAATAGGGTCAGACATTATCATATCGCATTTGTGACTCCAGTTCAATTTAGCTTGGGTTTATCCAATCGACCTTTTGGAGTTAGTCCAATTCAATTCAATTAGATGAGATAATGTGTAATAAGATTTTAAATTATTATATACATGTCTATATTCTAATTTAACTCGACACTTCATTTTCAAAGCCCAGAACCTACACAAATCTCTTGTTTTATTACTAATTTTTATTAGATAACTACATGAATATGATCAAAATGATGTCGTTAACTTTTTAGAACATTTTAAGATTTATTTTTCATATTGATGAGATAATAAATGACTTGATGATCCCACTTTTGAATATTATTGTTTCCTATTAGTTGATCACTTCATCTATCAGTCATTTGAGCCTTGCTGGCTTGTCTGATCTAATTTTTAGCTTCTTGCAAGCTCTCAAGGGTCACTGACAATCTACTCGTCCAATTTCTCCTGCCTACCTTTTGACTATGGTCCCTACAACATTCATTAATCACCCAATCTTGGCCCATCACTATTCATCACGTAGACAACTACAATCTCCCATTTGCGCCAATTCATGGTTGGCATTTGGAGTCCTAAGGAATGGTTTGATGCTAACCAACCTCTTTATATTCCTCTTGTCACATCTGACGGTTAACATGTTTTGTCATCACCAATTTTGCATGTCTGTCTTTCATCAGACTTGTCTATTATCAGCCAAGTGGATTGAAACAAATAATACCCGGTGCCCTATTGAGTCGATGTGTATCCTTCACTCATTGGATCGCTTAGACATTGTTGACAGATGCTCAAGGAAGATCTTTATTGCATGGCCTTTACACATAAATGTACCTCTTTCAAGCCATTATAAAAACTTAAAACCTAACAATATATTTATACCAAGCATTAGTTTTATTACCAATTTTTATCTAGATAACTACATGATCAAAATTTGAATCCTCATATACAAAAAATGAAACAGCAAATTCTGCTTTTCTTTATTACCGTAATTATTTCTTAAAGTTTATGGATGGCAAATTCTATAATGAAAAAAGTATCCTAGTATGGTACCATCTATTCACAAAGCAAAATGATCCCACTCAACATTTCATTCTTAAAGCTCTCAAAAACTGCATAGTTATTTGCATCTGTGTCAATAGTACACTCGTTAAAGCTTCCTGTTAATGCCCTCATTAAATTTTATAAAAATTCTAAATTTTAAATGAAAATTTCCTAGGAAACCAATTCACAATAGTCAATAGGAGAATCACACCCCAATTAATATAAGAAAAATCCAAGTTCAAATTCTTCAATAGTTTCTTCGCATAAGACACATAAACCAAAAACTCGAGTTCATCTCCTTCAAAAAGTTCAACTTGTACTCATGCAATTATACTATTTAAAAACAAAGGATATGTAATAGAATTCCAAATGAAATATTAGCATCAATCTTTCTCACCTTAAACTTAAAAAATCATCATAAGCCTTATCACAATTATTTAGGGTCAGTTTATGAATCCTCAGACTTTCATTTGTTCCTACTAAGTGTTGCACGAGGTATCAAACCTATATTTGCAATTGTCACCATAAATCATCAAAATAATATCCAACTTCTTGTCCTCATGTCCAACTCTTCATCATAAGGACAATAAAAAAAAATCACCTAGAAATATGTTTATTCAATACCATGCTAAACTAAACTTGTGAAGTTTAAACCACAAGCATGTGGCATCACCCCTTCAAGCCAAAATTATCTTCCAGCTTAACATATAATTATATTAAAAATAAAATATAATTCTCAATCATTAAATCAAAAAGGTAAATCTGAAAGATAAATTATGGCATGAAATAAGAATATATTAGATATTAAGCAAAAAGAAAATCTCTATCAAAAATTTAGCACATGACCTCAGATGCCTGACAGATCAGAAAATACTTCCACTGTCTATCAATCTATCATAGATAATCAAAGAACAACTTCACAAAATAATATTGCAGAACCAGATAATCACACCATATACCTTTTTTAACCATCCGAGTAAATCGAAAAGTAATCCAACGAGAGCACAAAAAAAGTACAGAAAATGAAAAAAAACTTCTTAATTCAGCTGCCAAACTTTCTTTACACCCACCTCTACCTAGAAAGCCGAAAGAAAAATTACTACAACAAAAGTAACAGCAAATTCATGAAACACGAAACAGAAAACAACTGAAACAGCAAAACCGCACAAAACCCCGATAAACACTACTACAAATTCTCCGTATGAACTCCCAACATACAAAATGTGAATCCCATCAACCCTAACGAGATCTACTCCAATTAGAACAAAGAAGGAGAAGAATCAACTGACCAATTAAATCTCATCCTCGGCTATCAAACTTCAACAACAACACTCAATCATCAATTACGACGCAAGACGAGAAGAAGAAACGGAGAAAGCATACCGTGGCCACTTAGCTTCGCCGTTTAGTGGAGTCGAGGAACAGCTGGATTCGCTACAGATTTTTTATCTTTTCGCCATTTTGATCGATGGAGTTGGTCGCCGAAGCCCTTGCAAAGCCGTGGTTCTTCGCATGCCGTCCACGTCTGACTGCACCCAAAAGTAGACCGCGCCACCATTCGAGTTGGACCTGGGTGGACCTCTGGGTTCTTTTTTCTAATGACCTCGCACTTTTACATTTGGAAAGTCATGAATAAGAGACTTTGGGCAGATGATGTTTTAATAAAAATTTGTAATAGTCACCGTATCTAACTTATTAGCAAATTATTCAATAAGCTACAGCTATTATAAATAGTTCATTCGATTCAACTTAGCGCTGCAGAACCGAAACTGTTTTTTTTATTCACAAGAATTTGACACATCATTATCATCATGCACAGCCAAGCATTTAGTAATTTTTTTATTGAATTTTTACATATAAATTATTCAAAAATTAAATATAATATTTTAACTACAAAAATTTAAAAAATAACATTTCAACCATTGAAAACTTTTAATGATTGGGTAAGAGAAGGTGGTTGTCATGAAAAATGAGAAGTTTTAAGTGGTTGAATTGTTAATTTTTAAATTTGGATGACTAAAATATTATATTTAATATTTTGAGTAGTTGGTACATTTTTTTTGTGCATTTACATACATAAGCATGTAACATTGTATTGTAAAATGATCTCTATTTATAGACGTAGAGGCATATTTGTCCTTTAATCATTAAATTTTGAGGGGTACTTTTAGTAAATTATAGAAATTGAAAAAAATAACAAATGGGTTTTATCTTACCGACATGAGACCAGACAATTGTACCCTTCAGTCAATCGTTCGTCTTTTGGTTTGCCACGTCATTAGCTGGTTGGTAGTGATATTGTTGGTCGATCGGTTCCAACGGAAGGATTGTCACGTCATTAGTAGGTCAACATATCTTAATTTGATCGGATTCTTAAGTACACATTTTTATGATCCTCCTTCCATGGAGTTGTCGATCGGTTGAATGATCCCTATGAGCAAAAGATCATCGATCCTCCATCGTTCGTCAAACCTCCATTCATCGTCTTCACTTAACTGTTGGATTGCCTTGAGTCTGCAACTATGTCTAGTGAGGGAGCCTTGGGTGCTGACAATGATGTGCTCCTCAGGGCTCATGGGGGTATGCTGTCTAAGGCCCATAAATTAAATGTGAAGCAAAACCGACTGAGGAGGCACCTATAGGGGAAACGAGCAGGAAAAATGTTGTGATGAGATCAAAAGCTGAAAATCGTGAGAATGAAATTGGGTCCTCTTATTCTTTAGTAGGTTTGTTGTAGGAACAAGTCTAGGAACGACTTGGGGGCGGCATAGTGTTCATCTGGCTGAGCACTAGGTCACAATAGATGGTCCTGTTGGTGAAAAGAAGGTGATCATTCAACCTAATGCGGAGAAAACAAACCCTCAAATTGACGGCGTTAAAGCAACGACCATGTGAGAGTTTCTGCCTCAGTCCTTGGAGGACAACTTCCCCTCGTGGGTGGCAAACAGAGGAAAACAAGTGAGGACACACTATCTATCACTACGTCTGAATGAATTTGATTTGTTGGTATGGGATTTTAACTTAACAGTAGTAAGTTCTTGTGATCCTTTCTCTGGTTCAGTCATAGAGGTTCTAACGATCAATTCATTTTCATCATATCTTAGTGTTAATCTTGTGGAAGATGTGGTTATCGTGGACCAGAGGACGAATGAAGAAAACCAGCCTCGTAGTGAGGGACAAGGGTCAGATCGTGAAGGAACCCCCATCCCGGCAATGGGGGAGGAGATGATTGAGAGAGTCTGGGCGTCCTCTGATTCTTTAATGCACAGCCTTGTGGAGATGGAGAAGCACTTCCCTATGCTATGAGACAATGTCAAGGGGATGATGATTGTGGAATAGGTGCAATTTTGACTAGCATAGATCAAATTGAGAAGAAAATCGTTGCTTTGTGCGTTGGGTCATAAACGAGCCGAACAAGAGCGAGCCCGGGCCCAGCTCATGTTCGACTTGTTAAAAAATATCAATGTTCGTGTTCGGCTTGTTTATATTTCGAACATAAAAAATTTGTTTATTTTGAGCTCATTTGCTTAGCAAGTTAAACACAAGTTGTTCGCGAACAAAGAGCCGTTTTGATAACTCTAGTTACTAAGCCATAAAATGTTAAGGTTAGGGGCAAGATTTAAATTTTTTATTTATATTAAAAATCATTTAAATATAATGCATTATAGTTTTATTGTATTTTTTAATTAATAATTTTAATTGATTATAAATTTTTGTAGTGTTGTAGACGATTGAATTATTTAAAAATAATAGTCAACAATCATATATATATATATATATATATATTCATTATTTAGAGCCAAAACAAACAAAATACAAACAAAGACACGAATGAACAAAGCTTTGCTCGTGTTTTGCTCGTTTATATATCAAGCACAAAAAAAATATTTTTGTCGAACTTGTTTGCTTAGCAAACGAATCGAACAGGAACATCATAGCAAGTCGAACACGAACTGTTCGCGAACAATGAACCGTTTTGATAGCCCAATTTGTGCGAAGACTTCTCCACTTTTCTGGGGGGAGATGGTTTTCACTCCAAAGGAGATGCTGTGACTTTCCTCGAAGCTGTCGACTGCTAGAGGGGCCCCTCTCGTTCAGATAGGGATCAGTCGGACAGAGTATTTTAGACTAGGTGGTGAGTTTCTAAATGAGATAGTGCTTCAGCGAGGGTTTGTCTCAAGTGAAGCTATTGGTGTTCACCTGTTGTGGTTTTTTCTCCGGAATAATTTCTTAGAGTTTATGTAATTACAGATTTTTTTTAGCTCCTGGTTTTGTGAAAACAAATATTGACGATAGTTTTAGTACTATTACTACAGATGTTGGTGGGGTCTTCCGTGATCACATTGGGCGGGTTTTACTTACATTTTCTGCTCCTTGTGAATGTGTTAATGCTTCTTATTCCAAAATGACTACGTTCCTTTATTGTTTACTCGTTGTAAAAGAGATGAAATTTTGAAATTTGATCGTGGAAATGGATTGTGCTTCGATGCTGCTATGGTAGTAATTTGTGTAATTGGCTAAATTTGATTCTTTGGGCAAAGATAAGAAATCTACTCTGCTACATTACTTAGAATCATAATTTTCGAGAAGCAAACTGACCTGCGAATTTTTTAGCCAGAGCTTATGCTAAAAATTGAGTCATTAAAGTAGGCATGGAAACTAATGCAAACTTTAATTTACTCATTGATGACCATATAATAAACTTACCTTACATAGAATATAACTTTTAATATCACCTAGAATTTACATGTTCTAAGGACTCACACCCCTTTTATTTTCAATCATTGTCCCTAATACTATTATGATTTTTATTTTTCTTGCAAAATAAGTGGTTATATGTTACATTATTAATGTCCTTATTTATAGCATCTAAATTCATATAATCATTGCAATATTTACATGCATCTAGTCACTAAATGTCATTATCATGTCACATTAGGATGCACCAAAATTCCAACACAACTTTCACCCTTCAATTAATTTTCCAAAATAATTTGCCCATCAAAATCTCATAATATTTTTTTTTTATGATGTCACTAAGACCATAATGCACAATTATAGCCTTTAATTGATATATTTCTTTTGATAAAGGGTTTTATATAAATCTATTTATCAATTTTCTTCTATTTTTTAAAAAAATATATCAAGCTTTTTTTTTAAAAAAAAATACTTAAAATTAAGAATGACAACTTAATTTCTTTTTTCTCATATTAAAATAAAAATAAAATAAAATAAATAATAAAAAATTAAAATATGACATTATAAATAAAGCAAAAGTCGGTTAAAAGGCAATAAAAACAAAATCAAATGAGTCCAAAAAATTATAAAATGTGTGCACACGCAAGCCTAATCACTAGTTTCCAATGGGAACATTGCTGGGGCCCACACCCTATTATAAAATTATATATTTGCACAACAAAAAAAATATATAATATTTTTAAATGGCAGCTTTTACATGCATACCACACTATTTTTTTCTATTTACATAAGAGTTATCTAAACCTTACTTTTTTTTACATTTATATCAGTCAAATATTTTAAATCTTATGATGCACAAACACTTCTAATTAAGGAGAATTGTAATGTTGGGTGCAGACACTGCTCCAACACTTGTATGACATAATATTGAAGTGTCTGATTTAATTAATATTAAAAAAGAAGTGCATGCATATGTCATGTATCTTATATTAATCAATTATTTAAAAAATATTTTAAAAACTAAATTTAATAAAAAATTATGTAAATAAAAGACTAAATTATGCCCTAAGGTTTGCATATATATCACTTAGTTTTTATGTATTTACACATCCAACACATTATTTCAACTTTTAAATATATATGTCTTCTTACATGTATATGAAAAAAATGGTGGCATAAATATAAAAATCAAAATTTAAGTATTAGATATGCAAATACATAACTAATCGGTGCCAATTTTTACTTTCTTAAATGAATAATTGATTTAGGGAACTTAAATTTTATTTTAATATAAAATAATATATTCTTACTTTTATATATTTTTATTATTTTTAAATACAATTTAGCTTATTTTAAAAATAAAAAAATAAATATATAAATTTTTTTTTTATTTTGTATTTTCCTTAATATTTTACTTATTTAATTTATATATATATACACATATATGAATAATTTTTATTGTAAAATACTTCAAATCAAATAAAAAATACACAATTTTAACTATCAAAAAAGTTAAATATATTTATCAAAGCGTAGGTGCTAGAAATGTAAATACATAAGAATTGAGTGATATATATATATATATATATTCTCAACTTGATGCAAGGCAGCAGTTGAGGTTTACAGTTCACTCATTCCTAACTACTAAGATGGAACTTTGAATAAGAGAAACAGTACATTGCCGACAGCATTCACTGTAGAGCCTTGCAATAAATAGCAAGCGAGTTAAATTATGAATTAATATCATATATTAATATAAAACATATCATAATTAAATTTTTTTGAATACAAGTAAATAAAAAAAATATTAAAAAAAAGATCTTTTTCTCCATTGATTTATAATTTTATTATCGTTGAATATTTTTGAGATGTAGGACCTCATATTGTTCGTAAGTACATACAACCTGATGAAAGGTCATCGTAGAGAGAGGGTTATAGAGAGAGAAATAGAGAGATGGATCGCATCCCTTTGAAGAAGTCGTGAGAAATATACTAAATTCTGATATCTTAAGAGTTTAAGAGAAATGACCCCTCAATCTTTCCTCAGTTTCATACGTGAACGGGAGTTTAAGAAAATAATTTGTTCAATACATCTTCGTATGAACTGGATGACTTTCAGTCGTGACTTGATTGAAGAACTGTGATGGCAATATTATGTATTACCGATTAATATCAAATGTCATCGACATGACGACCATCCTCGATATCTAGGCGAAAAGTCTCGACCCTCAGTGTCGGATGAAGTTTTTAATAAATGATAAAGAGATGTCTCTATCGATCATGATGACTTTCTCGAATTGTCACCCTTGTGTAGTTGGACTATGTTTTTTTCTCGTGATGAGAATTATCAAATCACTCATTTCAGTAGGCGAGCTCGATTCAGTCACTTCGGCAGTTGGCGGTTGGGCTCGAATCAGCCACTTCAACAGTTGGGCTCGAATCAGCCATCAAAGCAGGTGGACTCGATTCACCTACTTCGGCAAGTGGGCTTGATTCAATCACTTCAGTAGGTAGGCTCGACTCAACGAGAGAATTTTAAACGAAAATTTATGAATACTCGTTTTTAATTATACACTTTATTTTGTTGACATTGCTTGATTCCTTCTTTGTGAGTTGACTTGGATTAAACCTAAATTTGAACTTCAGTGATTAGTCAAGTACTAAGTCAAGAGTAGCTCAGCTAAACTTGACTCTCATTGTCACTCCTGCCTATAACCTTCAATTTTTACTCTTCTATTCTTAATTTGTTAATTATATATATATATATATTTAATTTAAATATATATATATATACATCTATGCATGAAAATTTGTATATAGTCCAAGTCATTAGCAACTCCGGCCATATGAGAGCACATTGTCGGCTGAATGCATATTTAATTTTATTTTATAATAATATATCAAAGAGTAGTTAAATGTTCAACCAGTCTCATTATTATTGCTCTTAATCATGCACGTATCGATGCGCACCTGCTTAGTGGCGACCGTGCCATGAGTTGGTTGGCTGAGGCGCCTCAATTGATTGTCGATTTCGTCCGCCACGGTAAAGGTGGGTTGACCAATTAGTCGCGATCAAAGAATCCCGCCTACGCCCTGGTTGGTCAGGACTGTCGGCGTGGTCTGCCGTTCAAATCTCTCACCATAGTGCGTCAGTCGATTCTTAACCACGCAGCTGACAATAGGGTAGTAAAAAGCCTTGGTTGTCTTGCCATTGTCTAGGTCATTCGAATGCCTTGAGATTTATGCTGACAGTTGTGGTGTATACAACTCGAAATTAAAATTTTAAAGATAAAATTACTAAAAATATAAAAGAATTGCCTCAGCGAATCAATTTATCTTCTCTCTTTGTTGATTAAATTGCTGGCCGGTGAACTAACATGGATTTATAGAATTAAGATTAACCATAATTTTGAACTAATTAATCAAGCCCAAGTTTAAGAGGAGGATTTATTCCTAATTAGAGGTGTTTTATGCGCTCCAAAACAAACCTTTGATAAGCCTAACGCGACTGTCAAATATGCGTATTCATTTATACATAATAAAATAATAATAATATATTAATATATTATATTAGTAATATACTAATATAAATATTATATATTTATATAATACAATTTAGATAATTAATACAATATATTATTTATATATATTAATATTAGGGATGTCAAACTGGCTCATCGTTCGCGAACAGCTTGTGTTCACTCGTTCGTTAAGAAACGAACACGAACAGTGACTTCACGAACAATTTCAAACATGAGCTTATTTCAAACAAACTAAATTTCAAACGAACCGAACATGAAAAACTATGTTTATTCGTGTTCCGTGCGTTTACGCCTCTAATTCTAAGAACTACTAAACATGTTATATAATTTCAAACATAATTTATTTTAAAATAAAATATAAACAAAATAAAATTTAATAAAAAAACAAAAGCTATCTCAAACAACCCTGAATAATTAAATTATAAATAAAATAAATAAATACTTCAATATATTTATTTGACTTTGTTTCAACGCCTCTGACTTTGAACATAATAATTCAGCGACTATTGTACTAAACTAAACCAATATATTTATGCTCTGCACTCCCAACCAAATTATTGGCTTTCATACTAATCCGAGGAATTAAGTATGCTTAATATGGGAAATAATTAAACAAAGTACGTACGAGCTTGTTTGATTAAGTATGTATTAAGTAGTTAATATATTAAACAAATTAAGTACATCTTTATTTATTCACATACAATTAAAATAACATTAGTATGCACTTCACAATGCCAACCAACTCTCTTAACATGTAAACCACGTTTGGCGGCGGCGGTGCGTTTGCAGTGTGGTGTCGCATCACACTCTTTTTTATTTGACAAAATTGTGTTTTGTCTGCATTCTCAAAAAACTGCAACCGAAAGCCGCATTTTATCACCAGACTTGACTACATGTGGAAGCTGTCAGAAAACTGGGGTCCGATTTATCAAAAAAAAAAATGTAATAGCCATCACAATTTTTGGAACAACTTCTTTTTCAGTAGCATCACAACTGTTTCTTCAAACAGATGTTTTAGAGGCTTTATTTTTGCGAGGGATAAAATTGCCATTTTTTGTTTTTATAAGTGTATCATAATTCTCTCTTATTTAAAGAGTTGATAATAGCTAATTTTAGTGTGCGGAGTTGCAACCCATTTTCAGTCGTCTTTTCTTTCTCTCTACGTGTTGATAGTGGAATAAATCGTTCTTGTGGACAAAGGCTAATTTGTGTTAAACCACGTAAATTGCATCGTGTTGTTGTGCCATTTTGTTTTCAACATTATTTTGTGGAACATTATCTGTAAAAGATATTATATTTCATATTTAATAAATAAATTAAAATTTAGATATATTTATTTTATTTTAAAAAACAAATATAATATATTATCAATCAATTAATTTTTAAATAATAATTATTTTTTTAAAAAAATAATATATATAAAAATGCATTTAGATATAACGAATGCACATACCTAAAAGTAATTTCTTTCCTTGGAAGAAAAAATAGCCAATTATTATGGAGTGGGCCAATTATATTATAATAGCATCATTATACATTATTTTGTTAAGTGTATACGCCAGCGATTTCATATATATTCATAGCTTTAAAGGCTGAGAACCCACAATAATGTCCCCACACGCCTATAAATTTTTTTATTAATTATTTATTATCCTATATATATTCCACTTTTTCCCAAGTTATATATATATATATATAAGTATAAAATTGAAAAATAGCTACAATTTTCATATTCTCAACTATAAATTTGAATGATGTTTCTCATAATTTAATGATGATGAAATTACATTTAAATTAAGGAAGAAAATGATAAAGTCGTCTTAATCAATTTTTTATCAAAATATCCAACCTCTATATCTAAAATAAAATATAATATTATCAAAATATATAATTTTTGAATTTAGATTTGTCCTGTGAGGCATGTCCAATGAATGGAGTGGTGAGAATCGTGAGGAGGTAGAGAGAGACAGAGAAGAGATTCTTTTATATTGAAAGTAGATGTTACCCGAAAAAAAAAGAGAATCTCCCTACAGAAGAAGGGTTTAGAGAGAAGAGACCAAATGTCATTGATGCATGGTATAATCCCCCTATTTATAGGAGATAAAGGAACAAAATATTAAATTACATATTTTACCATGCTTTAGAGGGGTTGTTTAGATTATTTTTTTTGTTTTTGTGTGTGTTTGGACCTTCCGATCGGTAGATCTTTTGGGTCTGCCGACTAAGTTGGTTTTGGTCGACTTTTTTGTCTGGCCACCGGTCGGCTTTCATTTGGTGAAGTAGGTCGGTCCTTGTCAATGGAGTGGCCTTGAGTGGTCGGTCGGCTTATTCTTTTTTCATCTTTAATGATTTTTGGGGAGCAGTTGAGAGAGCTTTGTGTTGGTACTTGTAAGATTGTTAGAGGTGCTAGATCTTTCTTTGATCGTTTCTTTCAGAGAGAGATCATTGTGGATGTTTGTCTGTTGTTCGCTTGGGAGGCCCTTTGGACAATTGACCGACCTTCAGTTGGTTGGCAGCACTTCGACCAGCTGGCTATCAGTAAGTTGGGTGGTGTTAAGCCAATCCCATTCACAAGGCCTTCCAACTTTTCATCGGGGGGTCCTTATCATATAATCCTTCATCTGTATCGTTAGATTGCCTTGAGATTAATGTGACACATTTTTTGTGTACAATAATCAATATGACAATCAGTTTAGTAATTTTTTCTATAAAATAATTATGTAACTCATGCAAAATGTTAAAAAGTTATTATCTTTCTAATATAGAAGTGTTGTCTTTCATCATGGAGAAAATATTATGATTGTCTTAAGCACCATATCGTTGTGCACACGTGTAATGCGATCAAAGCCGTCATCCACACTCAAACATCTGATTTTTCAGACATAATATTCTCTCTCCATTATAACCAAGATATTATGAGTGATTACTTTTTAGTGCCATTTACATACATATCACACAATTCTTATAAAATTAGATATCTTACACCTAAACTTTAATTTTTATCACTCAAGCTAACTTCTTAAAAGTAAAATATACCATAATCAAACTCTAAGTATAAATACATATAAATTACACACCACATAAGTAAATTTCCTATTTTTTAATGAAATTGAGATATGAAATAAAATTTACACTCAATCCAATTAGGTAAAGTCACAAATTAACCAATCTCTCAATCAACCAACAAATTAATTAATGGCATCAATCAAAAAATTGAAGCAAATTAATCCTATCTTCTCAAACATTTCCTTCATCAATCACTCTTCTTTGTCTACTTTCTCCATCAGTTACACAACAACCCCACAGCCTTGCCAACGGCCTTCCTTCTTCTGGCAATGGGTCCTCCTTTCTTCCTACTTAAACCCTAACCCTCATGCTATAAAGGTATCATCTTTAACCTCTCTCCTTCCATTAACGCTCTGCAACCAACTCTCCCCTGTCAGTCTGCATGGCTCCCCCTCTCCCCTTCTTCTCCATCATCTTCTTCCTCCTGTTCTCTTGCGCAAACTCTCAGCCTTCTCCTGGATATTATCCAAGCGCTCACTTCAGTCCTCTTAGATTCTATGAAGGATATAATTGCTTATGGGAGCAGCAGCATCAAACAGTCTCTCAGGATCAATCCTCTGTCACAATCTGGCTAGATAAATCTTCAGGTGATTAAATTTACTTATTTTTTCAAACATTTTGAATTACTGTAACTCTGTTTGAATTTTTTCATAATCAAAATTTGATTTTGATTAACACAGGAAGTGGATTCAAGTCAAAAACTGCATATTTAAGCGGCTATTTTGCTGCTTCAGTAAAGCTCCAGAGTGGATACACAGCTGGAGTGAACACAGCATTCTATGTAAGATGCATAGCGGCTAATTGATATCCTATGTATTTACACATCTAACCCCTAAAGTTTTTATCTTTACATATATGCTCTCTTACATAAGCATAAAAAATGAAAATTTACACTTACTTCACTCCTAATGCAGCTTTCAAATAATGAAGCCCACCCTGGATATCATGATGAGGTGGACATTGAATTTCTGGGGACTATTCCTGGCAAACCCTACACTTTGCAGACAAATGTTTATGTGATGGGGAGTGGAGACGGCAGAATTATTGGGAGAGAGATGAGATTTCACCTCTGGTTTGATCCGACGGCTGATTTTCACAATTATGCAATACTTTGGAACCCTGAAGAGATTATGTGAGCATATATTTTCTAAATTTGCATATTTATTTTATTTATTTACATGACATAACACACCTAAGAACATTTTTAAAGTGAAGTATACCTTCAGGGGTTGGATATGCAAAAAGGAAGGAGTTATGTGGCATGCATGTAAATTTTTGTTTAAGTTAATCATTAATTATCATGTGTTTGAATATTAATTATGTTTTGTTAACGGTATAAATTTAGTTTAGAATCGAGTTTAAGTGACAGCTTAGAGTGGGACCCACATGTCTTTTTTCGTTTTTGTCCCCTTATCAGTTATCATCATACGTGCTCAAAAGCATGCCCCTTAATTCTTATGTTGTAACAAATATATACCAAAAAAGCGTTTATATACATACAACTTAATTGTTATGTAAAAACTCCCATAAATAAAGGAAAATTTATATACATACAACTCAATTCTTTCGCATTTATATATCTCACATTCGACACTTATCAGTTTCTTCGTCGACGATATACCGATACGACGATACACAAGCAATAACGATGCGACGTTTCCTCGCCGTCCGATGTGGGTTTATGGGTCGATATGGGACGCATCATCATGGGCGACAGAGAACGGAAAATACAGAGTAGATTACAATTACCAACCCTTCATCGCTCGAATGACCAAGTTTCTCATCGGCGGCTGCTCGGCCTACGCCTCCGGAAACTGCCGGCCGCCGCCAACTTCTCCGGCGGGTCTTGGACTCAGCAGCATGCAGTACATGTCCATGAGATGGGCTCAGCAGAACTACATGGTTTATGATTATTGCAGGGATTCTTCAAGGGATCATTCGCTCACCCCAGAGTGTTAGGAAGATTTACATATATGCCACTAAATTTTGATTTATTTACTTATCTAGCCAGCACCAAAACTTCAATTTTTACATATGTAAAAAAGTAAAGGTTTTGGGGTTAGATTTATAAATATATGAGAATTTGGGGGTATATGTATGAAAATTATGATATTTCCTAGTGCTGCCCTTCTACTGTACTGCAGAGTGTGGCTTTGCTGGTAGATGAGGCGATTTAGGTCTTTTTGTTTTACTGTTCTGTGTGTGGTTCTGCAACTGATGATGATGTTCTTTTTCTATTTTGCCCCTCCATTTTAATATATTTTACATTGCCGATGCATGAAAATGTAGTTTAGTTTTTAAAGGTAATACAGTGATATTTTAGATGTGATATGAAAGATTTGAGTGGTATAAATGTAAATTGCAGAGTTTAAATATTAGATATGTAAATAAATAAGAATTGGGAGGTATGCATGTAAATTACCTTTTTTTTTCTTCAAATTTTTGAGTACTTTGCAAGCTGGGTACATCAGAGGTTATTCAAAGGGTATTGGGGGGTTATAGGTAGGTTACAGAGATGTTACATGAGGTATAATGCAGATATAAACCCCCAATACCTTCTGAATAACCTCTGATGGACGCAACTCTGCAAACATCTTTAGAAGAAAGCTTGAAGGTGGAGTAAAAGAGTAAAACAAAACAGAGGCAAGAAAATTGACAAAAATAAATAAATAATATTTATTTAAATAAATGCTGCCTTTGCATGACTAGAAAGAATAATTTGAAAATGGAGTATATTTTGATGTGAAATTGGTCATAATTGTGCGGTGCGAAGCTTTGTTTCAATGACTAGAGCTTTTGAAAACAATATGGAGTATTACATATATTCCACATAATTTTTATGTATTTATATATCTATCATAAATATGAAATGCATTTTGTTTCATACGACTATTGATTGTCATCAAAATTTTTTTTATCAAGTATGGCTCTCGATGCATGCATTTTATTTTAAAGAGTCCTCCAAATTTAAACTTTAAATTATTCGACTCCGATTTAAATAAGTTTATAGTCAAACTGACCGTCTCGACACGACGAATCCAATGATACCAAAGTTGGTTTGATTTGGGTACAATCAAGCCCAGATCAAGTCATTGAAGCACATTTAGAGATTTTGAATCGTCAATTGAATGATCAACTTATACTTTTACATATTTATAGTCGAATCAAGCGTCTAGACGAGAGAAATTCAACGAGCCTAAGATTACTCAATTTCGAAGTACTAGGATGCTCAAATATTCAAAAAATAATATATGTTTAGGGAAAATCAACATGTATCACATCCAATCAGGTGGTTAGGTATGTTACATGCTAAAAGGCCAGAACCCCTCTCCAAAAGTTTATAAATATGCTTCTTTCTTCACTTAAGAGATGAAGATGGAGAGAAGACACAATGAGTAATCACCAGCTTCCGTAACCGCCAACCATCGTCAGCCACAATCGTTGTCCAACGTCGACCTTTAATAACCATCATCGACCATCACTGTCTACTGCCATCGACCGTTATCCGCCTATACTCAAAGCTTGCAATTATTATAGTCAAAAAATATATTTGTTATATCTAACACTTATATTTTCTTTGTATTATATAAAAACCAGTATAGTTTTTTTGCGAGATTGTAACCATGTTTCTCCCCATCATGAGAGAAGGGCGCATCCATGTACTTACAAACACATAGTGAATTGCTTTAATTGGGCTAAGCTCCGTAATTTTTTCTCTCCTCCAACTACTTTCGTTTTATCTGTGCGTGTGCTGGATCTTTGTCCAACATTATGACGTTAAATAATCACTCTATTTTCGTGAAATGATATAGCCACACAATAACTATCTTCTTAAAAGTGAAATAAGACTTTTTATTCGTCGGCTTACCACACCATAGTGTTATAATCGTAAATACAAAAGAATTAGGCGGTGTCTATGTAAATTTTTCAAATAATAATTAACCTACTAATTAATCTGTTAATCTAAACTCATATACTTTTGCTCTACAAACCCAGCCAAATTATAAGTTTCCCAACCGATCCAAGGTATTAAGTAACCTAACATAGACATGCATGTGAAATAATTGAACCATGTACGGACTTAATTAGTTTATTAATTATATATTAGATTCATGAAAGTGAAATAATTATAAAAAAGTATTTTCTTACTCACTTCTACTGATTATAAGAAGAATTTTTTAAGCATTAAATTAATTTTAAAATAAATATAACAACTATATTTTTATTCATATTATTTTTATTTATTCCTTTTTAAGAAAATTAAAATTATTAAATTTATTTTGGCATAATTTTTTTTCTCCAATATTATATATATAATAATCATAAAAAAATTGATTGAGCAAGTAATTCATGCATGCACAAGTGATTAGTATCTTCATATTGTTGCTAATGGTACGATTTATCCAATAGATTTAGTGTGGCCTGAAATCTGCTTGTAGCTCGTTATATTCGATTATCAACCGAGCTGGCTTGAAAATGAATCGAGTTCAATCCGGCTCAAAATCAAAACAAGCTGGCTCAAATTGAGTTGTTTGGATCAGTTTCAGTTCGGATTTGACTCAGTTTGGCTCAAAATTGAAACTTACTGGCTCAAATTGAGTTATTTGGATCCGTTCCTACTTGAAATTGGCTCGTCACTTGTTATATACAACTAGCTAATCTTGAGCTAGTTCAAGCCGATTCACATATGACATGAAATATTTTCGAAGTTTCAGCTCAATAGTCGGCTCATTTATTTCAATCCATTCTTGATTCGATATTTTAGCGATTAACAATATTTAAGTTAAATTAACAGCCCTATTTTATTAAGCGCATAACGCCAACTTTTGCCAATTTATTCGTTGCATTTTTCTTCGCTTTAAAGACTGATGTCATAATAATGTCTCCACCTGCGCTAAATTTTAAAATTAGATTTTCTTTTTGAAATTTAAATTATTATTGACAACATAATTTTAAAATAAATTATGTTAATCTTTTAAGATATAGGGTCCTGTATTGTTCGTGAGTTCATACAACCTATAAAAAAATACTGTTTTTAGGACGAATGTACGAAGAATATGATGGAAGTATTGCTAGTGCTCCTGTTTCTCACTCTATATTTTCTTCGATTTTTTCTAATAACATCACAAAGGGAGAGAGAGAGACAGTCGGTTTCAGCAAAAATTTTTCTGTGCGGACTTCTGACGTAGTTCTACTTGCGGCGCAATGTATTCTTGAGTTTTTTTCAGGTTATTTCTGAATTATTTTCAATAATCCAAAAATATTTTTTTATTGAAATAACCTGCAGCCTTTATTTTTGGGTTATTTCTGCCGAAAATAACTCTGGAATAACCTGCACCGCACGTAGAGGTACGTCAAATGTCAAAATTTCAGAAAATGCGCGTCAGTTTCAAAGGTTAATTTCTTTTTAGATCCTCGTCCCCTTTCTCAGTTTCATTTGATCTTCCTTTTATATATAAGGAAAAATAAATCTTAAATTTGTTACGTTCGACATTATGTCTATCTGTGATATCTTGATGAAAATACCGCAATGCAAGTGTTAGGCTATATATATATATATATATATATATATTCCCAGCAATTTGTTTAGCTTAGTTCAATTTGAAGATTTCTATAGGTGAGGATATTGCCTTTAAAACCTGAGACATATTGAGCTTTACATTGTGCCCATTAAAGCGATGTGACAGAATCTGGACACGTTCAGTATAATGTGTACATTTTTTTATTATATTGAATAAAAAGAAAATGCTGAATATTTTTAAAATTTTAGTTTCTAAGAAAAATTAAAAGAAAATATTCAGCATATTAAATAAAATTTGAATAAATTTTATTTATGAGATTAATTTAAAATTTTATTTATCATTCAAATTTTGTTTCTAAGAAAATAAAAATGATTCATTCCTTCACAATTTAAACTCATTCCATTTATCTTTCCATAAGAGAACGATCAGTGATGAATGTATATATAGATATGACGTACAATATGTAATTACAAAATTACTCACGTACCGTACCTACGGGACCGTTGCCGCCGCACCCCTAACTCACATAACGAAACTCCTCTGATTGGACAGATGCTTCCGCTCCACTCCTCTCACGAGCTCCACTATGCTTGCTCGTTTCGCTCGCTCTGTTCCGCTCCAGCATCTGTCATTTATCTAGTATATGAGTCATACTTAACATTCATAAAAAATGATTCTTTTACTTATAGAGTAGAGGGTACATAATGATAATATTAAGTTTTTGTCTATGCTTTAAAAGTGATTTGTACTGGGGTGTTTCTGATATTTAGCATGTATGATGAGCTTATCATTCGATTTTTTTTTTGACTCGATCGGCTAAGCTTAATTGAATTCAGGTCTGCAAGTCAACTTGCTTGGCTGAACTAGGTCGGGCATGCAGGTTGGGTCGGTCGTCCAAGCTAGATCAAATGTCTAGGCTGGTTTCGTTGTCCCTCTGAGTCAGTCGTCCAGGCTGGATCGTTCCTCTAAGAAATTCAATATGACATATTTTTGTTGTACGCACGCGCGCACACACACACTCATATGTGTGTGTATGTATGTATAATAGGATATTATTATTTTTGGAGCTACATGATACTGTCGGCCATGGCGTAGGATGTAACGTTCGTCCATGTCATGAAGACGACGACGGCTCGCCCAACTTGGATTCCAACAGGATGTGATTTAAACTAATCAATACAAATCTGACAAAACTGCAAGATTTTAATATAATTATTTAAAAGTAAAATAAAAAAGAAATTATGTCAATTAAATAATATTTATAGGTGTATATGCCATCATAAGCCATTGGCTTTTTCTTGGTCGTAGGGGGGCTTATTGATGATAAGAGGATGCTTTTTCCATCAGAGGTTGTGATATCATTTTCATCAGCTATATTATTTGATCATATTTATTTATTTTTTTAATTATAATTAATTTTCATGAGAGCTAGAGGACACATCCTTTGAATTGATTGATACTATTTATAAATTAGAGTTGAGTTATCAATACACTTATCT